GATTTAAATAATCGCTATTTCATTTAAATTTAAATGAAGTGGCGATTATTTAAATCGCCGCTTCATTTCCCTTTGCCCAATAAACAAATCTACATGGCTCCGTCGACGGAGCCATGTAGTCTAGACATACCCCAGCAGTTCTCAGAAGGAAATTGGTTTGCCTGTGTCTCAAAGAGCTGGTCTGAGATCTAGGTTGTTCCAGCCTCTCTCGCACTAAAGTAGTTGTTCTCAAACTTTTTGGCCAATAGCCCACCATACTAAATGCAGACCTTTCCATGGACCACCAGCCAATCCTCCATGATGACAAAAGAGGTTCAGAAGGGGGTGGGGAGGTGGGAGTCTGGCCAGTAGGTAGGGTGTAAGAGCGGGTTGGCAGTGGGAGTCTGTTTAGGAGTTTGGATGCAGTAGCAGGCTGCAGATGATGGGGTTTGGGAGGGAGGTAGGCTGTAGGAGTGGATGGGGGGTCTGGCTGGGAAAGAGGGTGCAGGAGTGGATTGGGGGTTGAGGGGTTTGGGTGAGATGGTCTGGGAGGGAAGGAGGCTGCAGGAGCAGGGTGAGGGTGTGGGGTCTGGGTCATACTGGGAATGGGGGGCACTTACCCAGCGCCATGCCCCCCCACTCCCTGGCACCACTCCCCACTGCTTCCATTGGCTGTGATTCCAGCTAATGGGAACAGCAGGAAAAGCCTCTAGGTGAGCAGCCATTACACCAGCCATGGGAAGGGATGTGCAAAGTCATTTCCTTCCCCTGAAAACTGGATCCAGCCTGAAAAGTTCGCCACTCTACCCCCTGCAGTGAGAAGCCAGTGCTGGAGGCGGAGACTGTTGTGGGGCTGGAGCGTCAGCGCAGGCTCCCCACTGTGGGGGGGGGGGGTGCAAACCCATGGCCCACCTGCAAGATGGCTAAGGACCACTACTGGTCTATGGACCACACTTTGAGAATCGCTGCACTAGAGAACTGAGACCTGAGAGCAATATGGAAGCTTGTGTGTGCATGTGTGTTCATGTTGGCTTTCTGCTCATTTCTCCAAGGAGTTTATGGAGTATGTAAGAAGGGGACTCTTAAGCTAAAAAGCCCACAAAAGGGAAGAAGTGAACAACGGGTTCAGAATTAATGAGGGCAAGGGTTTTAAGGCATGTTTTTCCTGAATAAAACGCTAATGTGGATAGAAATGAATTGAAACCACTTAAGATTTATGAAGTCTTAAACTCTCTCCCTGTTAATTTCTACTTGACCTTCTTGTTCATTTATCTCACAAGCCAGTATTCCAGTATCTACCTGTTTTCAACAATGACCTCTGTACAGAACTGCCAGGTTTTTAAAATGGGTTGTTATTTATTTTTTAAAGTTGTGGTTATTGAACACACACTACACTACATTCCTGTGGAACCATGCCAGTCTGCAAAATCTCCAGTGCCTCCCCCTACTTCATCTCCCTGGAGTCATATATGACCTTACTAGTTGGAACTACAGTTAACCACCATCATGGGGAATATTTTCCTCCTACATTTTAGAATAGTATAATTTATAACATGATATTAAAACCAACATAAATTAGTAATTCAATCCCTATATTCCAATTTAATGAATTTGCAGCTTCATTGCATTATTGTTTTGTGCCACTGGACCAATCATTTGGTTTACAAACAGAATGTGTTTCTTTATTAATCAATAAATGCATAGTAAATAAAGGTAGCCTATGTATAATTATGCTGATATCTCACAGGGGCCAGAATGCAATTGTTTAATATATTATTTTCTTAGTTTATTCTCAACAAAATTAAATATGAATATAAAATTTGTGTCTTCAGGTTAAGCTCCTTTTAAGAAGGCAGGGATGCAGTTATTGGTGGGTGGCAACAGAGAAGCACTTTCCAGGATAATTGTTTTAGTATGACAGTTTTGGGCATTATAAAATGTGGTTAAGGAACTGTAGTCCCCTTACTAAAGAGGCCTCTGTTTTATTCTAAGAAGACCCTGTGTGCTACAATCCAGACTACAATTCCCATGAGCCCTTGGGAAAAAACAGGAAGGAAGGACTCTGGTGTGGGAGAGGGCTTGCTCTCCCTGTGCATGAAGGAAAGAGGCCTAGCAGTCTGGGACTCTGCCTTGAAGTTTGGAACCGAAGGGGAGACAGGCTGCTGCCAAGGACATTGATCCAGTCCAGGGACTGTTGGATGCAGCTACAGACCAGGACTAGATGCCTGTTGGAACTGGGAGTTCGCAGGCTGCTTCCCATAGGCACAGCATGAGGCCGTAAGTTTAGGCCTTGTTGGAAAAGTGCGGCCTGGCACAGAGCTGCTGTTTAGCCTGGACCAAAGCCCCACTACAGCTGCAACATCAGCGCGCCAACGCAAGCAAGTGTCTGGGACTGTGAGTCCCGGGGTGTGCACACTCTGGGGTGGGGTCACTGGTAGTACAAATGTTAGCAGTATAAGCTTCAATTATTGTTATGTGTTTTGTTAATGCTATTCATTGCTAATTCTGTTAATCCCTGTTTATTTAAGTGAAGTAAAGATTGTTTATTTTAAAGTATTCTATTAGATGTATATGATTTGTAGTTGTTGTTTTGGATCCATATTATAGCTGGAATGAGTATATTTCTGGAGGCTTTCAAGGCACACCAGTGAGTGTGTACAAGGCCAGCCAGGTGGAGGCACCGCCATTGTACATTC